TAATGTTGGGAAGCAGTAGCTTCAGAGCTAGTGTTAGTATTTCTGTTACATGTACATGCACGTGTATTACATGTACATGCAGTGTGCTCTGTAATGGCATATAATCCCTCTTTATACTATATTAATATTCAGTGTGACTAGGAAGAGTGGTGTGTGCTGGCAGGGTTCCTACTCTGGTTTTGGGTTTGGGTTTTTCTTCTTCTTCATTTTCTGGGCCTGGATTGGTGGGAACCAATATATATCTTGTCATAAATTATAGCAGCTAAAGCCTGCTCTGAATCACAGGTTTTCAAAATGTTTTTGATCTGTGGATGGGTGCAGTGCTCCACGAAATGGGTGTAACTGTACTGACAGTGGCCCTCGTCCATGAAACTTCACAAACAAGGGATCTTCTGGCCCCCAGAGGGAAGAACTATCATTTTAAGTGTGTGTCTTCTCTTCCAGGCGGACTTGAGCTTGCCCTGAGCTAGCTGGGCGCAAAGCAGCTCCGAGCTTGAAGGCTGTGTAGTCACGCTGGTGTGGCAGAGCGAGCTGGCAGCTGTTTGCAAAGGGCAGTGTGGGCACTCCTGAACTAGTCTGTCAGCTCTAGCAGTTCCAGAGGCATTTTGTGGTTAGGTAGAGCAATGACCCCTCTGACTTGTCTCCTTTGAAGGCATTAGTAACATGCTTTCAGTCTTCCAGTTAAATGGTGGGGGGTTATGGTGGAACTCTGTACCAATTACCAGCTCTTTAGTGGAGATCTCAAAGGCCCTGCCAGATCAGTCTTCTGGCTGATTTGAGAGGCAGCATAAAACAGATAAGGGCTGTGGCTGCACGTTTGAGTGTCCATCTATTTACAAACTTGTAGTATAGTTAAGCTGTCTGCATCCCCTGTGCTAGTCTATCTGTCCTCCCATGGGTAAAATGGTGGTGAAGCTATGGCAGTATGAGCTTTAGCATGTTTTGGAGACTGCAGGACAAGTTTTTAAAGCATTTAAGAAGAGAGGAATATTTTATGTTTGTCCTTACAATTTTTTAGTGTCTTGCCTTTTTCAGGATTGGGAGAAGGTAGCCAAAGAGCTCAACAGCTAGATGCTGCTGCCTGTCCTTTTGCAGCCTCTGGCCATGTGGTCCTGCCCCCTCCCTTGCTGGTGCGAGTCACAGATGTGATCAAAAATCACCGTACCAAATAAGTGGTTTTCTGCTTGTTTGGTAAGCACAACTGGCTTCCTGAAAGAATAAACAAACACCAAAGCTGGTTCAGAGGAGAGGGGAGATCTTCAGAGTGTGCAGATGACCAGGACCGCTCTGGACGCAGTGAGCCATCACAGTTTACGATGCCTCACCTTTAGTACACTGGGCACTCCAAAAGCAACAGGATGAGTAGCAGGGAGTAGCTTGTGAGGCACCAAACAACACTGAATGAGTTTGGGATTGTCATTGCCTATAAATCATTAGTAAAAGTACAATAGGTCTTTGTTTCTTTTGGTTCAAATATATGAGAATAATAAGGAAATAACCGCAGCTAACTCTCACTACTTGTAAGAAATTCTGATTGTTCAAGATGCTAAAAATGTTGCCTTTATTAGAAACAAAAGTTCATGGTGTTAACAGGTAAAGTCAACCTTGCTTTACCTATACAAATCAATTTATTCCCTTAGGGTAGAAAGATTAAACCTGGAGGATATTACTGCCTTCAGTACTGCTTAATTTTTACATATGTGTTTATAAATTGTGAGAGTAATCATAGTACTCTTGCAAGCCTTAAAAAGTCTTAAAAAGTAAATGAAGGAAGTGCTAAACCTAGATATGCTGTATGCAGTGTCATTATTGCAGTAAGTTACTGAATCCCTTCATAGAAAAGGTAAAAAACGGTGAATTGTCTCTTCTGTGTTGGTGAAAGACCTTGGAGATGAATGTTTTAGGCTTGCTTTCTCTCTCTTTAGTAAAATTTAACTGTGCTGTTTGACTTACTACAAGCATCCATTCTGAGGCAATAGTTTTCAGACACGTGCTGCTCCTTCCAATTCAAACAAATAAACCTCAGTGTGTTATCAGAAGGCTTGTTGGTCTGTCCCCTGATTTTTAGGCAGTTGTTTCATTTTCCAGATCTGAATTCCCTAACTTGTTGATAAATTGGATCTATAGGGCTATGCTGTTTTTTCCCGAGTGCCTTTGATTGCTGCATTCTAAGTATGGATGTTTCAGCACGTTAGTCATAAAAATTTTTTTCTTACCAGCTAAGATGAGCTTTCTTCCACCTTAGAAAATAATGCCTTCCAATGATGGAATCAGTAATGTTTGCTGGTCAGATCTTTCAATCATATGGCAACGTAGCTATACTGTCCCTCTTTTAGTCACATGATTTTCATGTGTAATGTGCCATTTGTTCTGTATATGGGAAAATTCTAAAACTTTAACTTAAAAAAGAAGAAAAAATGGACAAATAAAACCTTTTCCCAGATGGGAATCTTTCGCTGATTTCCAGTGGCATTTGAACTGGGCCAATGTAAGGTACGGCAGAAATACCTTATTTTAAAAAGTCTCTAAAAAAACCTCGAACGCCCCTGGCTTCTCTTTGCCCCTCCCTTCCCCCAACCCACAAACTCTCTCCTCTGAGATTATGTAGTTAAATAAATTTAAGTGCAGCAGAGGATTCTTTGCCTAAAAGTAAGATTTAGGAGTGGGCAAAGAAAGAGCAAGATCCTGCATATTAAAAGTGAGTCATTGAGTTCTTTCCTAACAGAAGTTAAATTGACTCATTGTATGGCATAAAGTTTGCAATACCACAGGCCTGATCTGATATTATTCTTTAATAGTGCATTGGTGACTATATTTGTGTGGGTTTATATGAAATCACGTCAGATGACAGTCTGATCTAGAAATTGTCATGTAAATTAAATCATCAAATCTGAAGCTATGTTTCTGTTATGTGTAAAATAAGCAAATGAAAAGTACCCCTTGACATGTCTTCTTTAAAACTTTAAAAATGTAAAATGCAGTATGATCTTACAGTGGGTAGACCCTTGTTTCTGGTTTCCAAAGGAGCAAGAACAATATGGTTACTCTTGAAAATTCTAATACAAATAGATTTTTCTCCTTGACAATCTTCAAGATTCTCCAGGAAGGTTTTTTCTTCTTTTTTCCCCAGTTACTTAGATTTTTTTTCTGTTTTAGAAGAGCTTCAGTTTTTAAGTTTCTGGTTTTACTTTTTATAAATTAAACTTATTTTTGCTCCAAGTTAAACCCTTTGTGATTCCTGGAGAGAGATGAAGATCCCTATCAAGCCTGAAATTGTATTTTAAGGAACTGTAGGAATATATTTATGGGACTAATCTATTATATAACCATTTTATGCTATGCACAGCAATCTCAAATAAATCCTAGTTTTCAGTATTCTCAGTGGCCATATGTCTTACTGTACTCTTTCTTGCTGTGACCCCTAGAGAGGAAAAGGTGCTTTTGAGAGAAGACTAGAGGATGATTTTCATTCCTTGGATATTCCATGGGGCTGTTCCAGCCAGCCATTAAACTAACTAAAATAATCCATGGGAGACAATAAGCTCATGTGTGTATCTCCAATTCTTTTTTTTTTTTTTTTTTTTTTGTCAGGGAATGAAATCTAATTGTTCTAACCACAGGTGCAAAGTTCTGTCATTGTTACTGTTATTTGTTTCAAGGTGGAGGAAAGGCTGCTTGAGCAGGTAATTTGTGATTTTGCGAGGCTGCCTGACAACTGTTAATAGAGATATAATTGGTTTTTGTTAGAGGTGGAATTTTGAATTCTAGAGAACATATTGTTCATAGTTCACAGTTTGCGAGGTGCTTGCAGGTCACCATAACTCATTAAATGAAGAGTATGAGGAACTTGCCAGAACTCTTTACCTACGTATGCATGGCACTGCAGAAGTATAACTAGCGCAAGGGCATCAATTTCCTAAAATCAGCAGCCGAAAGTGGTATGAATCATACCCCCTTTGTAATTCACGTATCAGGGAAATGGTTTTAGGACTAAGTTTTGTAACAGACAGTATCGTACCATGCTGAGGATTCACACTGAAGTTAGTGGGACTACTCATTCTTTGTGCAAATCACAGATACAAAACTGAGCACTTAATTTTACTGAGTGACAGATATATGGAAGTGCATTTTATGTGAACATATTTGAATGTTTAGCTTGTTGTAAACAAGCAGTGTGATGTGTCTGTTGCTTCTTCTTGTCTGTTGGAAGTATTTTATAGTTCGTATGTGTCTGACTTCTCTTTCATCTCTCCCTGCCTTTTTCTCATGTCTACTGTACTGACTGCCAGTTTCCAGTGATTAGGTTTTAAGCTTTGAATATTCTTTTTTGTTGTCTTCTGTAAGAGATTTTAAGGAGGATTTTATGGCTTTTGCCTTTGACCTTTTTCGTAGTATTTTGAATTATTCTGAAGTTAGATAATTTTTTTTTTTTAAATCTTTCCTTCCTCTCATCTTTTTTATTTCCAGTTTTACTTTGATTCTTCTCTATGTTACTGTTTTGTGCATTTTCTCTCTGTGGTGTTGCTTCATATTAGTTTATCACAAATCTTGAGTTTCTTTCTTTCACTTATTCTTGCCTTTTTGTATACTGTTAAACAGAGCCTTGGGAATATATTTTTACTTGACATCTGAGGTGCAGTTTCAGAAAACATCAGAAACATGCTATTTGAAAAAAACTTTGTGCTTTTTAATTAGGAAAAAAGCTGATCTCTACGAACAAGAATGAAGGAACAGAAGTGTTTCAATAATCTCCTTTCTCTTCTCTATTTCTGTACCTAAGGAATTGATTCTTTAAATAATGGTTTTGAAGCAATGAGAAACAAAAAAGAAAACTGCTTTTAAATGAAGAATTCTACAGAATTATAGAACCTGCTTTTCTTCATGCTGATGTCTTTTCTTATGTGCATTGATATGAGATGTTCCTGTGTTCAGTAAATGAAGATTCATTTCATTGGCAGAATCCCTCCTAACAACGTTGATTTGTTCTGGTTTGTTTTCAGTGCAATGAAACTTCCTTCTTTTTTGAAGCACGTAACAAGATCACATGCAAACATCTCTGGAAATGCTGTGTAGAACATCATACGTTTTTCAGGTGAGTGATGCAGAAGTTCTGGTTTCGTTACCAAAAGGAGGGAGACTATATTGAGTAAGAAGCTTGTTATACCTACACAGCGGTATAACACAGGCTGGCTGCCTGGAAACACATTTTTGCTCTTGGTTACAGAACGCTCTTGAAAAGTGACGCCTTCCCTTTTCTTACAATGATGTGAAACGGTAATTTTAAAATTGGGTAGTTTGGTGGTTTCTTTTGTCTTAGAATTCTTTTTTAAACAGTATCTCAGGTTGCATAAAGTAGGCTTTAACAGAAGTATCCACAAATGTATATGGCAGGATTTAAGCTGCCATATACATTTTTATGTATTTAACCATCAAATTTTCTGTAGCAGCATTGACTTGAGTGAGGTCTTTGGATTTCAGACATTACTATTTCCTACACTGCACAGAAATTTTGTGTTTTCAGAGAAAGACTCATTGAATTTCCATAATGTTTTGCTTACTTATTGGAGTGTATAAAATGTTTCCAATATTACACATCTCAAAACAGTTTGTTTTAGTGTTGCAAAAACACTAACAGAAATGTGCAAGGGTGTCTAGCTAGGAACTGGTCGATGGGATGCTTGGGGCTGGCTTTAGCAGTGCTGTAAATGAGTCAGCTCAGAATCCCTCCTGCAGTCTCATTACTGTGGCATGATGTTTTTGCCTGCTCCTGTGAAATATTAAGCAAAAGGCTGGTGTTGCCAGCAGTTTACAGTAGACTCTGAAATAAAGAGATGTGTAGTCAAAAGAGGAGGGCATAAAAATATGGCTTTGTGAGCTCTCAACCCCATAAGAGTCTGCGTGGAGGTAGGGATGAAGAGGAACTAGCAGAAAATTATTTTTTTGGAACATAGCGTTTGTATTTCACTTTTCTTTTCTTGGGAAGGGGACTGTAACTGAGACCTATCTATGTAACTTACTCTGTTGTTTTATTTTTCAAACTACATAGAGTGCCAGAGAATGAATCAAACTCTCTGTCGAGAAAATTCAGCAAGTTTGGATCCATAGGTTATAAACATCGGTACAGGTGAATTTATTTCATTGTTTAAATTTCAGTTAATTCCTTCTCCATTCCTTCTTTTCTCCTCTTTTCTTCCAATGAAAGAAAAACCCCACCCAGACTATGACTCAGAACAGTTCTGCTGTCAAAGCATGAATCAGGGCTGTTTTAACAGACTTCCCTTGGGAGTCTGGCAGTTTTGGGACAAATGTGAGTTACTTCTCATTCTCCAGATCCCCAGAGTTGGCGAGGGCCTGCTGTAGCCCGTAGTGAAAGTGAGAGCAGCCTTGGCAATGCTTTAAGTCAAAATCTCCTTATAAGTCCTGAAATTATGTTCATGTCCTAAAGGGTTTTTCCTCACAACTGGGGAATACCAAAACGAGGAGGCGTGTTGGCTGCCGCCTTTCTTCTGGGAATTAGCAAAGGGTTGGTGCGAAGAAGTGTATAAAGTCTGTAACTGTGATGCCTTTCTTTAGAGCCGCAGTTGAGCTATGGCAAGGGCTCTTGATCCAAATGGTTATGTCTAATCCTGTAGCAGTACTGCTGGTGCAGTGCTGTTGATTTAAGAATAAAAATGAGGGCAGATCTGAAGGGAGATGGGGATATCTTTTCTAACTGGAATAGCTGGCAAAATTGGATAAGCATTCAAGGCTGCAAGCCTTGAAAGACACAGTAAACTTCAGACTAAGGGTGTATAGGGAGCACTTGGTCTCAGTTTTAGCCTGAGTTGACCAAGCAAACAGTGTGACATAAAGGGCAATTAATACTGTCATACAGAGGAAGACGTGGCAGGGAGAGTGGGTTTAAGATCCTCTAGCTGCTGTGCCACAAAGGACTAGTAGAATATAGGATGTAGTTAAAATTGTAAAATGTCAGAAACCATATAGTTTTTACTGAGTTTTATTGAAACTTTATGTTTTTAAGTCTGTTGAAATGACAGGGTCTTTGTCTAGTGAGTAAGGCACTTGATTTGGCAACTGGTGACCACTGTTTTGAATCCAATTCTGTCCCATTGGCTGAGCAATTTTGAGCCAAATAACGTATGGTCTGATTTTTAGAATTGCTTTAGAGTTGCATATTCAGTGAAGATGAAAGGGAGGGTGGAAAGCAGCAAATCAAAACCACATCTGAAATCCAGGCCCCTTTCTTTTTCCATTTTCATTTTCCTTGTTGGTCAAGTGGGGATAAAAATGGTTTTAAATCTTTTGTAGTTATTTTGAAGCTGCTGGGTGAAAAGGACCTATTTACTGTAATGGCAAATATAACAGGTTTGTTTAGGTTTATTTTTGGCTTGTCTGTCTGTCTCTCCTTCCTGTCTGTACTTCCACCGTCACTCAAGAAATACATGGATCATAATGGGTAAGGCTGACAATCAGTTAGGTAGTTCTTTGTCACTGCCTCTTAGGAAGACTTTTCTAAAACCAAGAAAACCATAACCTCCAATTTCTCTAGCAGCTCCTGGATTGGAGTTAGTATCTGTGGTAGGTACCAATAGCAGGGTGTAATAGTAGCTCTATTACACTTGTGGTCAATCAACCAGAATTCATAGTCAACTGTCTGTTACCCTTGGATGTAAGATCTTGCTTGCAAGGAAGGTGTTACTGATGGAGATGACTCGGCCAGTGCTGAGCCTGAGCTCATTTGACTGAATCTCCAGCCAGGATCACTGGTATGTTTCTGTCCCATCTTCTTCAACCTATTTCATAATAATCCAGGATATTTGGGTTATCACGTTATCTGGCATGATCCAGGTTCTTCTTACTGTAAATAATAGGGGAATGATTGTACTGCCTTTGGGATTTCTAGCTGGATCCTGACCCATATAACCTCATCTTTGAAACTGGATAGGAGTTCAGTGGATTCCTGCCAGAGTACTGGCAGATGAGGGTTCCCTTTGTTGGACCATTTCAGCAGACTGGAGCAGGGCACTGGTGCTGGGAAAGAGAAAGCTTTGTACTTACCAGGACCTTCCAATCACTTCTAAAAAAATAC